ATTCATTTAACATATTGATAAAATAAGTATCCTTAAATAATTTATGTAATCCACAAAAATTTTCTTTTACAGAACTTCCATGCAGATCGATAACCATAATCTCTTTACATGTTTTTCTGATTAATTTTTCTAATGTTGATAATTCTTGTTTACTAATTTTATCAAATTTATTTGATCAGAAAATATTTTTATCGCCAGAAATATCGTGTAAATTATTTAACATTTTTTCTGGTCTTAATGTAAAATTCTTGTTATTTATATGTTTTAATTATTTATATCTTTTAATAAATACAAATGTTAAAAAAAAACAAAATTAAAAAAAAATGGCGAAATATACTAAAATTTCTTGCAAAAAATGTTCAATTATTAAGAAAAGATGCAATGATGAAAAACCATGTTCATTTTATAAAAAAAATAATTACAAATGTGAATCAAATATTCATAAAAAAAGAGGTCCAAAACCATCTATTGAAAAAACTAACAGAATGAATATTGCATATTTACTCAATTAATAACTCTTCTTATCACATTTCCAAACATATCCACAACTCGTAATCTTCCTTGCCACCTATTTTGATTATCGTCTAAATTTATCTGTTGCACATCTAATTGATTATCAATTACTTCTCTATCCCTATCTAATTGTGGAATATTATGTAAATCTCTCTGTTTTGCTGCTATTCTTTCTTGTCTTCTCTGTGCTGCTAATTCTATACGTTCTTTTTCATGTCTCTCAATATTCAATCTACAATTTTGTCTTTCTATATCATATTGTAATACTTGATTTCTATTTACTCGAACATATGGTAAAATTAAATTTAAACCACATACAACACAACATGTGTCAACACCATCTTTATCATACCATCTAGTCGCACAATGCATGTGAGCCATATGTCTTTTATTAGGATTATTACAAAGCCTCACTACTTCTGGATTACCATTCATAGCTTCCCTTAAAGGTGTATTAAAATAGAACATCTTGTAAAATCTTGCGGATCCATATTTCTATCTTCATTTTGTTGTTGTAGTGATGGTGATTGCTTTCCTACAACTATTTGTTGTATATTATCAATTACTTCCACATCCTCCCTTATTTGTGGAATATTATCCATATCTCTTTGTCTTTCTTTCATTTATCTTCTAGCTTATTCCAAATTTAATCTATTATCTCAATTTCTTCTCATTATTTGTAATATATGATCTCTTCCTACTTGACAATGTAAAAGAGGTTCAAAACACACTATACAAGTTTGTGCGATACGAGGTCTATCATACTATCCATTTGCACAATCTTCATGTATATAATGAGGCACATGTCAATTATTACATAATTGTATAACATTTCCACCTTGATGTAATGGTATATGACAAATAGGACATTATAGAACATCTTGTTGATTAAATTCTTCTTCTTCTTCAATAACTATTTGTTGTGATATTCGATTATCATTTACTTAAATTTCTCTATATCTTTGTAAAGCTATCGTGTCCGGTCTCAATATATTTTCTGGTACTACATTTCTCCATAATTCATCAGGCTGTAATGGTACATGACATATAGAACAAGTAATTGCACATCGACTCCATCAATTAATACAACGAAAATGAAATATGTGATTATTTAGACATGGTATCACTACTCCATCTAAATTTTCAATATCAAATGCTGTTAAATATATAGAACATATTTCTTCTTGTACATTTATTTCCAATACTCCTCTATCTATCTGTGGATCTACTATGAGTATAGGTATTGGTATTTGACGAGTATTGGTATTTTTGGTTGAATTATAATTTGTTTAGCTTAATCACCAATTATCCGATTATCTCTTATTTGATTTTCTCTTATTACATTTGGTCTTTGTTTTATCGGTAATTGTTTTATTGGTATTTGTTTTATCTGTAGTATATTTTGTTGATTTTGTTTAAGTCCTCCTCCTTTAGGTCTTCCAGGTACCTGTGCTTGTATTTGTTTTGGTCTTCTTTGAATAACTGGTATGTAAGTTTTTGGTCTTGATCCGAAATATCTGCTTCGATCTATATTCATATGTAAAATTAACTCTCGAATAATCATTGGATGAACACATGGTCTTGCACAACTTGATACTGCATGATTACCACCACAACATTGACAAATATATCTCTGTTTAACATCACTCACAAGATATAAAATGATCAATAAAAATATCAAGTAAATTTTTATTTTTATTTCTGTCATCAAATTAATTAACAAAATTTAATTTATTTATATTTATATTATTAATTCAATTATCAATTAATTCAATTATAAAAATCAACATATTTTATCAATTAAAATAAAATGAATCAATTAGAAAAACTACAAACTTTATCATTTGAATATAATATTGAACATTTTGGTGTAATTTCTGGAGAAAATTTTGAAAATGAATTATTTTATTATCTAAAAAAATATAAATTACATCCAAAGAAATTCACATTTTATCAATTTACTGGTGAAAAATTATTACACAATTCCACACATAAACAAAATGAAAAATTATCTCTTCGATTTGGTAAAATACAAATAATGTATGATGATAATCTTAAAATCACGAAAAATAGAACTATTGAAAACATAGATTTTTATAGATTGGGAAATTTTCATATTATTGGCGATGATAGTATCGATATCTCATGTGAATGAAATGGGTACCCATTATACATTCAAGCAAAATTTCGAAATCTATACACGAATTGTAAAAATAAAAACAATAAATCTTGTTCACATAATTACTATTATGATGGAATGAAAGAAGATATTTTAAAATTTGATAAGAAACTATCAG